CTTTTTCGCTAACCCTCTACTTTACCAAGAATGTTATCTCTCTCCAGGGACTGGCTCTTCCATAGTAAGAACATGTACAAAGTATGTGAGACAAAGTCTCACCATCTTCACTTCTAAGACCGCACTTCTTCCAAGACAGGTTTGTTCGTTCTTCTAGCAGCCTGTGATGTGTTCCATGTTCTTCACTAACATCATAATTCAAAAGTATTGATTTTTCTTTGGTTTTCCTTATTCATTGTCCAGCTTTCACATGCATGTGAGGCGATTGAAAAGACATGGTTTGGATGAGGTGAACATTTAAGTGTTAAAAAGTGACATCTTTTAAATACTTTAACAAGGTCTTTTGCTGCAGATTTGTCCAATGCAACACACACTTTAATTTCTTCACTGCTACTTCCATGGGCATTGATTGTGGAATCAAGTAAAATGAGATCTTTGACAATTTCAATCTTTTCTGTTTTGCACAATGTTGCAGGTCCAGTTGTGAGGGTTTTTTTTTTTGTTTGTTTGTTTGTTTTTAAGTATAATCCATACTGGAGGGTATAGTCTTTGATCTTCACCAATAAATGCTTCAAGTGCTTTTCACTTCAGCAAGGAAGGTTTTATCACCTACATACTGTAGGTTGATCATCTTCCTCAGATCCTGATGCTGCTTTCTTCTTCACATACTCCAGCTTCTCGGATTATTTGCTCAGTATACACATTGAATAGGTATGGTGAAAGAATACAACCCTGACCTACACCTTTCCCGATTTTAAACCATGCAGTATCAACCTTGTTCTATTCAAACAACCACCTATTGGTCTATGTTCAGGATCCTCATGAGAATTAAATGTTCTGGCATTCCCATTCTTCATTATGTTATCCGTGATTTGTTACAATCCACACAGTTGAATGCCTTTGCATAGTCAATAAAACAAAGGTAAACATCTTTTTGCTATTCTCTGCTTTTCGCCAAGATTCACCAGGAATGATACCTATCCCTTATTATACAACCTCTTCTGAATCCAGCTTGAATTAGAGGTACTTTCCTGTCGATGTACTGCTGCAACCACTTTTGAACTATTTTCCACAAAATTTTACTTGCATATGATATTAATGATGCTATTCAAAAATTTTCACATTGTTAGATCATCTTTCTTTGGAATAGGCACAAATATGGATCTCTTCCACTCAGATGGCTAGACAGCTGTCTTCCAAATTCCTTGGCATAAATGAGTAAGCGCCTCTAGCGCTACATCTGTTTGCTGAAACATCTCCATGAGTATTCTGTCAATTTCTAGAAGTTTGTTATTTGCCAATTCCTTCAGTGCAGCTTGGACTTCTTCCTTCAATACCATTCGTTCTTGATCATATGCTACCTCCTGAAATGGCTGAATGTTGGCCAATTCTTTAAGGTACAGTGATTCTGTATATTCCTTCCATCTTCTTTTGATGCTTCTATTCTATTCTGCCCATAGAATCCTTCAATATCACAACTCAAGGCTTGAGTTTTTTCTTCAGTACTTTCAGCTTAAGAAATGCCAAAGTGTTCTTCCCCTTTGGTTTTCCAACCCCAGGTCTTTAAACATTTCATTATAATACTGTATTTTGTGCTCTCAAGCTGCCCTTTGAAATCTTCTGCTCAGTTCAGTGCTTTTATGTTATTACTCTTTTCCATTCTGTTCAGTTCTGTCTGTTCTATTTCCTACTTATTCTTTGAAGTTTATATCCAAGAAAATAAAACCACAACAAACTTTAAGCACTAAACCAGTGCTCACAAATCATATACTTCCCATTGACAAAAGTCCCCAAGTATAAATATACATTAAAACAGTTCATTAGAGTATATAAACTATCCATCACTACTTATCAGGAACCACATTATAATTCCAACTTCAAATAGCATTCAGATTAATTTTCATAGCAACATTTTTCTTTAATTACTATGAGGCTACTCATTGCTATAAGTTTCTGATAAAGAAAAAAGCCATTAATACTTCAAGTACCACTATGTTCTTATGCTCTACTGTTTCTATCGTTGTCAGTTGCCATCATGTTGACTGTGACTCATGGGAACCCCATGAGTGCAGAGTATAACTGTTCTGTAGGCTTCTCGAGGCTGTGACCTTTCATAGGCAGATCTTCCAAAGCACCTCTGGGTGGGTTTGAACCACCCACATTTTGCTATAGTTGAGTGCTTAACTGTTTGTGTCACCCAAGTACCACCGGGACATTATGTTCTATGACAGTGGTAAAACAGACAGCAAACACTGTAGGTTGGATACCTATTTAGTATGACACCTAGCTGGCTGCATGTTTGAAGAAAGGGAAGAGATCATCGAGTATGACAAACTTGGATTCAACCTTCTTACCAGCAGCTATGTAAACTCAGATAGCATATATAACCTCTAAACCTTCAGTTTTCTCATCTGAAATTAGACATGATACTTGTCATAGAGTCACTGAGAAGATCAGAATAAAAAAACAAAACTGAGAACCATAACACATAATCTGTATACAACAAATGGCATTAACACATTATGATAATTGGCCTCAACAACAGTACTAAAATGGCTGAAGGGCACCGCAGATTCATGGGACTGCTGCGACAAAATTGATTTAAAGAGACTCTGAGGAAAAAAGGACCGGCAATCTACTTCCAAAAATCAGAATACTCTGATCCATGAGCAATCACGGGGATGATGCAGGACCTCACAGCTCTTCATTCTGCTGTGGACAGGGTTGCTGTGAGCCGGGGTCCACTTAATGACAGCCACCACCACCAACAACAACATGGCCCCTGAGGACTTCTTTTGTGGGCCCTGAATTCCATCCCAAGAGACAGCTCCTCTCCAAGTGTGGATGGACACACTCACTCTAAAGGAAAAAGCTTTCTTTACAAAGAAAAGGCATTCAAATGTGTGGATCATAACAAATTGTGGATAACTTTAAGAAGAATGGGAATTCCAGAACACTTAATTGTACTCATGACGGACCTGTACATAGACCAGGAGGCTGTTGTTCGAACACAATAAAGGGACACTGCATGATTTAAAATCAGGAAGCGAGTGAATCAGGGTTGTATCCTTTTACCATACTTACTCAACTTGTATGCTGAGCAAATAATCCGAGAAGCTGGACTATATGAAGAAGAACATGGCATGAGAATTGGAGGATGAATCATTAACAACCTGTGATATACAGACAACATAATTTTGCTTGCTGAAAGTGAGGATGACTTGAAGTACTTACTAATGAAAATTAAAGACTACAGTCTACAGTATGGATTACACGTCAACAAAAAGAAAACAAAAATCCTCACAACTGGGCCAGTAAGCAGCATCACGATAGATGGAGAAAAGACTGAAGTTGTCCAAGACTTCACATTACTTTGTTCTATAATCAACACCAATGGAAGCAACAGTCAAGACAACAAAAGACATATTGCATTGGGCAAATCTGCTGCAAAAGATCTCTTTCAAGTGCTGAAGAGCAAAGATATCTCCTTGAAGACTAGGATGTGCCTAACCCAAGCCATGGTATTTTCAAATGCCTCATATGCATGTGAGAGTTAGAGAATGAATATGGAAGACCAAAAAAGAATTGATGCTTTTGAGTTGTGGTGTTGGCAAAGAATGCTGAAAGTACCATGGACTGCTAAAAGGACTAACAGATCTGTCCTGGAGGAAGTGCAGCCGGAATGCTCCAAGGAAGTGAGGATGGCCAGACTTCGTCTCACCTACTTTGGTCATGTCAAAAGGGACCATTCTCTGGAGAAGGATGTCATGCTTGGTAAAGTGGAGGGTCAATGGAAGAGAGGAAAACCTTCAATGAAATGGACAAGCATGGCGGCTGCAGCGATGGGCTCAGTTATAGTAGGGATTCTGAGGCTGGCACAGGACCAGGCAGTGTTTCGTTCTGTTGTACATAAGATCGCTATGAGTCAGAGATGGCTTGACAGCACATAACAATAACAATAACAAGAAAATATAGTTACGGTTTCCTGGAAATGAAGCATCAATAAAATTATTTTCTTCTTTCCAGTTAGTCTTTGCACACATATGTATAAAGTTTTTTTTAAAAAAATTATTTGGTCTAACCTACAACTATTGGGCTCTTCTTGTCCAGAAAAAAAGAGAAAGAAGAAAATATAAGTCTCAGAGAAGAAAGTAGTATACAGGGCTAATGATCTACATGAACCACGGCCTCATCTACCTTAAGACCAGAAGAACTAAATGATACCAGGCTACTATTACTGATCATTCTGATCAGTGCCACAACAGATGGAATTGAACTCAAATTTATATAAGGACAAGGCTTACTGGACCGGTTGAGACTACGGACTCTCCAAGATTACTGGCCTGAGATACTCTTTAAACTTTGAATCAAAATTATCCCTTGAGGCCACATTTTAGCTAAATTACACACTGGCTATTAATATAAAGAATATCATCTGTGAGTAATGAGCTTCTTTAAAAAATCATCTGTATGAGACCAGAGGGTCAAAAGTTACTCTAGAGCAAAGATGAAAAGGTAAGGTAAGGGAACACAGAAACTAGAATACAACAAGAATGGAATGAATGAGAAGGATGAAAAACGCAATCAATGTCACTGAATTATTTGTGTACAAACTGTTAAGTGGGAACCTAATTTGCTAATGTAAACTTTCACCTTAAACACTATACATATATGTGTGTGTGTGTGTGTATGTATATATATATTTACACACACACACACATATATATATATACAGTATATAAACCCAAACCAAATGCACTGCCATTGAGTTGGATCCAACTCATAGTGACCTCTCATTGGGTTTCCAGGGCAGTATCACGATGGAAGTAGATTGCCCGACCTTCCTTCTGAGGAGAGGCTGGTGAGTTTGAACAGCCAGCCTTCTGGTTAGCAGTCAAATACTTTAGGCACTACACCACCAGAGCTCCCATACAATACATATATATATACATTAAAAATATATTGAAAAACATCCTATATTTATTTTCAAGTCAACTTACCAAGACAGGAGTACAAACCCTGACTTATCCAAGCTAATATGGCAAGGGTTATGAGGTCGCCAAAACTAGCAGCAATGGGTGTAGCAACATTATCAGGATTTATACCAGTCTTCTTCGAACCAACAATAACCCCAACCATTATTATTCCTAGAAGAAAGAATATTCATTACTTTTTATGCTGTGATTTAAAGAAAATCAGTTCCCTAAATACCTAAATATACAGGATAGACAAATAGCATATCATTTCTTAGACTATTTAAGAGAAGCTAACTAAAGCAAACAAAACATTTTATACTAATACTTTGGCAAAATGCCTTCCAACAAACTCCAAGAGAGGATCACAGATCTGAGAAGTTCAACGTTGCACTTAGAATACTGAAAAACTAATGTAAAATTACATTAAAGCTAAAATTTCAAATTTAGCAACATGTATGTCTTAGTTTTAATGTACTTGTGTATATCAAACCCAAAGATTTAAATTTTAATCTTCAAGTAAAGGATGGAAACAGGAAAGAAAGATGTATATATAGCAGCTGGGAAGAATAACAACAAAAACAGATGTGTTTACATAGTGGTAGCCAGAAATGCTTGCTTCTCTTTTTATTTAAAAGTGCTGAAGTATTAAGAGAAGAGCAGTATTAAGTTTTGAACACTGGAGGCCAGAACACAAGAAATAGTCTTTCTAAAAAATAGTCTTTAATTCCAGTTTCTGTCTATGAACCCACAACAAAGAACACATGAAAATGTGCCTGTGTCCTTGTATTTTTAAATCCTTGTTTTCTTGAATCATACGAATGGGAGGAAAATGATAGCTCTGATAGCCACACCTTATTGCACAGGTTTTCTTGTGCCAACTGATACACATTTTCTTGCGGTAGCTAGAAATGATCATTAAGAGGATGCAATGCAGAGAAAGCTTAAAATGTGCTAACCATAAATCAATATGGAAGCCTAAATATGACTATTTTAAAACTGAAAATGACTCTTTTTTTTTTTTTCCTTTAATTCCAGTATACTTATAATAAAACTGAGGTTCTGGGAAGCAGCATTTAAATACTTGCCTAAGTTTACATAGTTTGTAAGTGACTATACTCTAATGCTCTTTCCACTATCCTATAAAGCTAAAATTTAAACAAGTAGGATTTTTGTCTTGCTTCAAACAATGCCATTTATCTTGCATTCTGGAGGCTTTATATATCACTAGACTTACCTTTCCCATAATAAGATTTGAAAATACAAAATTTTTGATATGAAAGAAAAAGAGGGAAAAGCATAAAAGCTCTAAAAAATTCATTATGCAACAATCAATCGAGACATGATCATAAAGAATTCTGCTTTCCAAAATCAGCTCATTTATAGATCTATAGGAAAAGCTCTCCAATGACAGAATGTCCAACTGTACCTTTTCAGCTGAAAACAAATATTCTTCATGCATTGTGGTCTTGTGGAAAGAGCCAGGAGTCAGAAACTTAGGTTTTAATTCTGACTCTGCTATAATCAGCTGATGACATTGAAGAGGTCAAGTCCCCTTATCTAAGTTTTAGTTTTCTTATCTACCAAATGTAGATAATTGTATTTGCTTTACATATATAAAGGTGGTTATGGGGGTCTAGTTATCATGAAATTAGAAAACATTTAAAGTTAGAAGCTTTAAATAAATGTATTTTAAAAATCTAAATTTTGACACAAATATTTGTTTAGACCGAAAATTTTTTAACTCTTTGTAAATTAAATAAAATCAGAAAAAAAGGAAGCAAATGAACCTAAAGAAATGGGGTGCTTCAACATTTTTTAACCAGAAATTTAATTTTCCAATAATTTAACTTCATTCTGCTTTGATCAGTGTTAACACCATTCAATTCTAGTATTTCTATATAAAGACAAGAAATTACCCTGAAATAATTTAAGTATAACTTAAAATGCTTACAAATATTTTGCAAATCAAGCCTCAATGCAAATAAATTTCCCTACCTTTCCAAAATCTAGCTTTGTTCATATGTGAATCTCCATTCTTAACTTGCTAGGAGCTCTGGTAGCATAGTGGCTACAGCACTTGACTGCTAACCAGAAGGCTGGCGGTTCAAATCCACCAGCCACTCCTTGGAAGGAAGATGGGGCAATCTACTTCCGTAGTGATATTGCCTCGGAAACCCAAGGAGGGGTCGCTATGAGTCGGGGCTGACTCGATGACAAACAACAACAACAACAACAATAGTGATATGACAGTGAGAAAATGGCAATTATAAAATAAAAAGAATCATGTTTTTAAATTATTTTCCTATAATAAGCTATTACCCTAATGGAAAATTCATACTGATAAATACTAAGAAAGAAAACTCAACTGAAAAAACCTATGGCTCTTTAAAATTATATAGCTAATGATATACTAGTTATATTTGTACTGCCATAAAACAGTGAAGATGCTTTCTTTCTTGAAGTATGAAACTTTAAAAACTGTTTCTAGAAGGACGGCATGTGAAACTCAGAATTCCTGGCACACTTGTTATCACTCCTAACAAGCTAGTGAACACCCTTCATGGTTTCCAGAAAGGAGTTTCTCCATTAATTTAACTTAAGGAAATAAGTATCTAGGCTATTTTCCAGATCTAGTTTAGGGGCTGTACCAGATAGAAATGTAACTGAAATAATTAAGATATTTTAAAGTGTGTAGATAACTTTCTCTGTTGTTGTAACAGACAAGGACAGGGAAACCTGTCAGAACCACAGCTCAATGGGGGGTATTGCCTTGCTGTTCCAGTTCCACAAGTTTTCCTCCTTGACGGGGTGCAGTCTCACTACTTTTCTATGGCTTGTTTTAGTGGAAAAACTTGAGTTTTCCTTCTCTGGCAGGTTTCTGCAGGTTTTATTACATCATTTAAATAAAAGTAGTAATCACCTTGAAAAACAAATAGTTTAAAAGGAAGAGACATCGGAGTACACATTAGTGAATTCACTTACCCTGCAGAAGAGACGCAATGAAGGCAGTGGCTACACTGCTAGAGCACAGAAGTATGGAATGATCAAGGTAGTATTTTCCCTCTGGAATCCAGCCCAATACAATTGCCGCCACGGCTGCTAGAAAACCAACGACTGTTGCTTGAACCTAAAAATTTTTTAAAAATCCATCTGCATTATTCATTTTCAGCACACATCTTTTATTTAATTAAATATTAGAAGGCAGAAGAAAATACTGCATATGATAATTGAGCTACAGCACCTTTTAAAAAAGCACTGTATTTTAGTTTCAGTGTTCCCTAAGGTGGTGGGTTCTTAGACTGTCCTGATCTGGGGGCAATTGGTATGGAATGGGGCTCAAGAATGGGATTTTCAACAAGTACCCCAAGTGATTTTGATGTTGTCATCCACAGACAACACAACAGTAGACTAAAAAGTAAATCGGACTCTACAGGCAGTGTTGGCAAGAGGCTGGACTTTGTCATCACATAGTATGAGTTCTGGCTTATACAACTGCTGACGTGGGTCCTGACTCATCTCCACCTATGACTCCTGACTGTACTACTTAACCTTATGGCAAGGTATTTACATCCATTCATTCAATAAGTATTTATTTAGAATCTATTATGTACAAATGGGGTTGTCATGAGTCAGAATCACAAGTGGTTTGGTTTTTGTTTTTATCACAAGGTGCTATGCTTAGTTTTAAGGAACTCTGGTGGCATAGTGAATAACCACTAACCAGAAGGTCAGTGGTTCAAACCCACCAGCTGCTCCGTGGGAGGAAGAGGAGGCTATCTACTTCCTAAAGATTTACAGTCTTGAAAACCCAATGAGGGTTACTATGAGTCAGAATTGACTCAGTGGCAGTGGGTTTGGTTTTACGCTTAGTGTTAGGCTAAAACAGACTTATCATCTGCTCTTGGGAGCTCTCTGTCAGTGGGAGAAATTTAAAAATTACCTCACAAATGGGAGCTCTGGTAGCATAGTGCCTAAGGGACTTGACTGCTAACCAGAAGGCTGGTGGTTCAAGCCCACCAGCCACTCCTCAGAAGGAAGATGGGGCAATCTACTTCCATAGCGATACTGCCTCAGAAACTCAAGGAGGGGTCGCTATGAGTTGGGTCTGACTTGACAGCACATAACAACAACAACAACCACGTCACAAATAATCACTATCATGATAAGTGCTATAAAAACAGAGTTCCTAATCTGTAAAAGTGACACTGACAGTATCCAACTTGAAAGGGTCATTGTGAAACTGCAGAGTATTCTGCTGTTCGTTAGACGCCATCAAGTCAATTCCAACTCACAGTGACCCTACGTACAACAAAATGAAGCACACCCAGACCTGTATCATCCTCATATTTGTTGTTATGGTTGAGCCCACTGTTGCACCCACCTTGTTTATCAAAGAATTACATAAGTGTGAAAGTACTTCCCACAGAGCTGCCACAAAGCAACACTCAAAACAACTCCAACTAAAAATAATAATAATAACAACATTGATAGTGAACTCTTGGATCTAGATTATTAGAATGTTAGAACCAAAAAGATATCCGTTAAGAAACTCATCTATTCCACTGGTTCTTAACTGTGTTTGTGTCATGGATCTCTTTGAAAATTTGGTGAGAATTTTATAGAATAGACATGCTTTTCTCTGGAAAATTACAGAGGCACTAAACATTTTTATTTGAATTTCTGGGTGCTCACAGACTCTCTGAAGCCAATCCAAATACAGGAATCTAAGACTCATGGTGAACAAGCCCTGAAGTAATAGGATCCTATCAGACAGGCCACACAGCCTGGACTCCAGGCCCCTGGCCTTTCACTACAGCTCCTGATGATGTCATCCAAAATTTCAGAGCCGAGATTCAAGCTGTGAGACCATTACAGCTATACTAGTTGTTCAAATATTTTAGTATTTTCATAGGTTAGAAAATAATATAATCCTATGTAAAAGTACTCAGACTATTTAGTAATATAAATTCTAACATGGTGATTCCAGGTCTTTTCCTGATTTAACACTAGAACACAAAGCTAGGGAGCCTGCTGCAGACATCATATAACTGTCTGTCTATCTGTCAGTTACTGGGGGGAAATGAAAGCACATAACTGAGATGAGGAGGTCCTATTCTGTAAATCTGCAAAATAAATGGCTAACTCCACTCCAGAGAAAAGTATGGGTTCAAGTTCTAGCTGGTGAGACTAACCCCATTCCCTACAAGGGCCATAACCCTGCACAGATGTTGCTACAGAGCACAGCCCTCCTAATAAAGTAACGGTTCCCTGGATAGGATTGGGGAACTCTGCTTTATTTGACAATTTCTATCCCCTTGAGGAAGAGCTCTGGTAGCGTAGTGCCTAAGGCACTTGACTGCTAACCAGAAGGCTGGCGGTTCAAACCCATCAGCCACTCCTCAGAAAGAAGGCTGGGCAATCTACTTCCATAGTGATACCACCTCGGAAACCAAAGGAAGGGTCACTACAAGTCAGGTCTGACTCACCAGCACATAACAGCAATCCCATCAAGGCAGCCAACCTGTATAACTGTGAAGAGATTTCTACGAGTGAATCTGCCTGGGACCTCATTTAACAGCCAGAAGAGCACACAGCCCAGCAAGTGACACCTTGAGCCTCCTGTCTTTCCATTGTTCCCCACCTTTACCTTCCATAGCCATTCTCCAAGCAGAAGAGCTTTATGCCAGCCCACCTCATTCCCCCACCCCATGCTCATCTACTCCTTCACACGGTTTAGAAGATGAAGCCTCAAGGAGAGCACCCCTTCACTTACTCACACACACACAGACACACACTTCTTTTCCCTTCTGCCTTTGCCTGTTGGTAATTTGGATGTAACCACTTGCTACCTCACTGGCTGGCACCAACTATCTCCTGATTGGCCTGTGTGGGGTTCCCTGTTTCTCACACATCCTTTGTAGAGTGAGGCAGGGCTTCGGCTATGGCAACTGGGATCAGCAAACCTCCAGCCACCTCCCTCTGGCTGCCACCTAACCAACAGTTGTAGGAAGAGAAGAGATTAGGGAACAGTAGAGACTAAGAGTAAAAGTTGAGGTAGAAATTATTATATGATTTGAAAAATAATTTGTATACAATTCATATAACTTGGTAAGAGTACAGAATATTTAAATAATAAAATGAAATATATTTTCAAAGTTTTATTTATTTATAGTATCCTAAAAAAACCAAACCAAATCTGTTGAGTCAATTCCTACTCATGGCAATCAATTGGTTGGTAACTGTTTTGAGTATTACCCCCTGCAAAGACTTCTGCAATTTCAAGCTGAAAAGGGCCATAGCCATCTCTAATGCAATGCTGTCATTTAAAAGAAGAGGAAAGAGAAGCCCAAAAAGAAGAGGAAAGAGAAGCCCAAAAAGGTTAAGTAAATTAACAAAGGTTATACAGCTGGTTAATGTTAGAGCTGTGGTTAGACCTATGTCATTTTCTTATTTCCAACCCTGAGATCTTAGAAGCAGTGCCCAGATATTAAAAACCAATCTATATTCCAAAAATCCCTCTGTTTCTTTGTTTCTGAAGTACATTACATGGAGTTGTCTTTTCTACAACCACGTTCTACAACATGTCCTCACTGAGCTAACATTAACATTAGCGCCCATCTCTAGCTCACACCAACTAGAGAGTTACGAGGGCTACCTGCAGCCTTGTTCTATTTTGGCGTGTGGCAAGAAGAGGAAGAGATACTCAAAGATAATGAGAACATAAACAGCTGTAGATAAACTACATATAATCCAGAATTCAGCTCATATGTAACTGACATTAAATGTGTTCATTTATACTAATATTGAGGACATGAACAAATTAATGAATACTTAGCTTAAACATCTGACCATAATATATTTAAAATAAAAATCAAAACCAAACTCACTGCTGTCGAGTCAGATCTGACTCCCCTCCTTGGGTTTCCAAGGCAGTATATCGCTATGGAAGTAGATTGCCCAACCTTCTTCACGAGGAATGGCTGGTGGATTTGAACCACCAGCTTTCTGGTTAGCAGTCAAATGCCTTAAGCTCTACATCACCAGAGCTCCCATATTTAAAATAGCTCAGTTTAAATAAACTGATGGTTTGTCTTAAAAAAGGAAAAGTAGAAAAACAGTACCTAAGCAATAAAGTACTAAATATTTATTTGTACTCAAATTTTGGTTCTATTATATATTTATGATAGAAAACATTTTATATATTTTTATATACTTTGCCTATAATATATTTTTTCATATTTGGAAGAACTTGATCTGTATCTAGAGAATAAATAACTATCATAGGTCATGGGTGTCTGTTTATTCCATCACTTTTTCAAGGTACTAAACTATTTTTTGGTGCCCTTAAAACAAATGGGAGACTTAATAGTAATAAAATTTATTTCATTCTTATAGGTAATAAAAGATATATAAACACAAGATCTGCAAATGTTTCTCACTTACCTGCTTTAAGGCCAAGTTGCCAATTATTAGGTTCCACTTTTCAATAGGTGAATCCATCTTCCCAATATTTACCTGTTAATTGAGCATATTTTCATATATCAGTGTATAATCTACATGTTATTTGCTCTGTTTAAACATCACATGAAGTCTTAAAGGCAAAGGTAATTCTTTAGTAAATCCAATGAGCTCACATAGTACTTTTTAAAACACCCTGCACTCATCACTACCACTCATGGATCTAACAATCAGTTTCTCTGAGATGTTTAGGGGGAACGTTTTTTTTTTTCCACTTATTTAACTAGCTCACAAGAACTAATGGACTAGTTGGTACTACTCATCTGTCCACTGGTGTTATTTTATAACTAACAAAATCAGGTATCATTCTAACATGCCAAGTTTTATGTACTGAGGAATAATATAAATAATCACATAATTTTAAGCTACTGCATTAATGCTACATCATGAAACTAATCTAATTTGACAAAAAATTGATACAAACAAATCATTCCTATGCACATAATTCATATTTGAGTCATGGCTCAAACTGGTTACACAGAGCCTAGGTCATCATGCTAACCCTTATTAACAACAACAACAAAAAAAATCATTCAGCTCACATATGAGTTTCAATCATTGATCTTACTATTAAAATGTATACATCTTTCTATTAAGTGGAAGAATACTCTCCTTGTTCTGTAAGCTAAATCATACTTCTCACCCCCTTAGGATTCAAAAATGTGTATCAAAATCTGCCAAGGGTTTCTAATGTAATCATTTGGAAGGCATTGAACACTTATTATTTAAAATATTATACTGAGCTGGGTTTTAATTATTCATCACACTTGATGACTTTCAAATATTAAAAAAAAAAAAACTATATGTGAATGGGTAAAGTGGAAAACATGTAAAGGTTGGCACAATGATTAAGGATTTGCCCACTAGCCAAAAGTTGGTGGCTCACAAGGGAAAGATATGGTGGTCTGCTCCCATAAAGATGATAGTCTAGGAAATCCTATGGGGCAGTTTGACTCTGTCACTATGAGTTGGAATCAACTCAACAAAACACAAAAGCCCAACAACATTTAAGGGACAGTTTTAACCATGGCTTCAGACTGGCTCTGGTAGCATAGTGGCTAAGGCACTTGACTGCTAACCAGAAGGCTGGCGGTTCAAATCCACCAGCCACTCCTCGGGAGAAAGATGGGGCAATCTACTTCCGTAGTGATACCGCCTCGGAAACCCAAGGAGAGGTCGCTATGAGTCGGGTCCAACTTGATGGCACATAACAACAACAATCAGACTGGCAGGATAAGTACTATCATCAGTATTTCTTCTCTTGGCCAATATGCAAAACATTCTATTCTGTAACCTCACTCTGGACTTTAGTCTCAAATATCTGGCAGATGCAAATATTAGGATTTCTCAGTGTTTCAGAATAATTTGTTCACACTGTCTTTATATGTGTATTTCTGTTCTAAGTCTGGGAATCTAAATTATTGAGAAAATCCAGTGTTTGAGTCTTAGAAACCTGAAATGTTCCTTAAGTGAGCAATAAAGTATGAGCAACATTTATTAGGTAAGCCTACCTCTGGTTTAGAGTTCAAAACACAGGTGTGAGAGAAACTAGTGTTGTTTTCCAATAACTTTTAGAAAGATGCCAATAGCTACGGGAAGCAATCTAACATCACTCCAGGAGAAAGTGTAAGATGTCAAGACTCCAGGATTGCATAGTGATCAACGTAGACATACATACATTTTGTTGTGTGCCTTCGAGCAACCCTATGTGACTGAGTCAAACTGCCCCATAGGGTTTCCTAGGTGGTACTCTTTATGGGAGCAGATCACCAGGTCTTTTCTTCTGTGGAGTGGCTAAGGGGGTCTGAACCACCAACCTTTTGGTTAACAGCCAAGAACTTAACTTTTGTACCATCAGGGCTTCTTACATATACATTTAGGGTCCAGGAAAAAATCAAGAGAGATGGGTGTGACAGCATAAATGAGTGGTACATATTTGGTATGTAACTATGCTAGATTGCTAACTTGGTATCATTACCATCAGTCCCTTCTCAGGCCTGGAACTAATATTCCTCAAAATCCCCTTCCCTGTATAGTTTCAGGGTATAGTCTGCCAGTGAAAACCTGTTAAATATCTGGAAGGGGGAAGTAAAGCAGAGGTCATTATTTCTGGAAGGCCCTGAAAGTCAGACATGGCATCCAGACCTCTGCACCACAAAGCATGGTTTTCCTCCCCTGCTCCACTACTTCAGGCTGTTTCTCTGATTCTCCCACCACAGATCTTTGCTTCCTCAACTTCTCTCACATTGGTGTAAGCCCAGAATCCTCTACTATTCTTTAATTACTTACTGCCACACGACATTTGGTGGCTCTGCTTTCCCAATCAGATTAACCCAGACTGATGGAGGAACCTGAGATTTTAAGTCAACTAATTCAATTCATCTGTTTCCTAAGTGAGGAAGATAAATAATAGCATGTTAAAACAATGATGTGAAATAAATAAAAAAAATAAACTCACATATATAATAACAATTCCCAAAGCAAAGGTTTTTAGAAATAAGAATTCAAAAAGAAAAAGAAGAAAAATGTTGACCCAAGTTTACCTAGTTACAAAACACAGGTAATGATATGAGCAAGCACGGAGATGAGGGACACAGAAAAATAACCTTCCTTGATTCCTTATAAAACTGTACCTAGAATGGGGCTGACCACCCTATTGTCAAGTGGCCTAGGGTTTTTTCAGAAGTAGAGAGGGAAAAGCAAGAATGTTCTGTCTAAAGCTTTGCTAAGCCAACTACGTTATTGTAATATTTGATCTGACGCTCTTCAGTTGCAGAAAACCCAAGAGCTTGGAAGGTAATAAAAGACGGCAGTGCGTGATTTGAGGAAGTCCTGCTATGTAACAAAGAGTTATTTAAACACTTAAGTACATTTTAAAGTACTAGAAAAACAGGTAAACGCTTTTGCAGAGGCACTAGGTAGTTTTTTTGAAAAAGGAGAATGCAGATGGCTAGAGACTGAAGATGTATGTTTACCAACACAGTGGTTTTAAAATTTTTTTAATCTGAATGCTTTTAGGTAGAGTCTCTTGCTTTTATAATTCCTACCTCCCTCCTCTTCACAAAGGTATGTTACTTATCTGGCCCCTAAGGCATTTGAGGGGGCTCTGTTGGCATAGTGCCTAAGACATTTGACTGCTAACCAGAAGCCTGGGGGTTCAAACCCACCAGCCACTCCTCAGAAGGAAGGCAATATACTCCCATAGTGATACTGCCTCGGAAACCCAAGGAGGGGTCACTATGGGTAAGATCTAACTCAACCGCAGTGAGTTTGGTTTGTTTTTTTAAGGCATTTGAGATAGGACTTAATATTTATTGGAGCTAAAGGTCAAGTTCGACTCCACGGCACATAACAACAACAACAAAGATAATAGTGAGTTAGGATGACCTTGAAATTATAGATTTGAAAGTGTAACTACTACATTTGATAGTAGGAAAAACAGGCCATGAGCTTAATACGTAAACAGATACTTGGAATAAGGATGGCAAAAGGCTCCATTAAAGTATTAATCTTAAAAAATATATATATCAAGTATTAAATATGTGCCTCAAAAAATAAGTATATAAAAAATAAACTATATACCAATATTCACTGCAGCACTATTCTTAAGAGTCAAAAGATAAAAACAACCTAAATGTCCATTAACAGATGAATGGCCATACAAAATGTGATACATACATACAATGGAATACACCTAATCCTCACTTACTATCTCATTAGCCAACATTTCACATTTATAATAACAGCGAAAAAAAATCTACACTCCAACTATTTTGTACACTAACAATGTACATCTGGTAGAAATGAATGCCAAGACGCAAGGTGACAGTAATGCTGGCTATGAAGGTTAAAATTTTGTGTTATGATTCTCAGTGGTTTGGCAGTTACATAATGATATAATATGGCAGTTCTAAATGATATAGTTATCCTCCATTTTCCGATCTGATGTGGTCGTCCTCCACTTTTACGTTAATGCTAATTTTCACATAACGACCTTGTCTTTGGAACTTAATCATGTCAATAAGTGATGAGTGGGTATATTACTCTGCCATGAAGAGAAATGAAGTCCTCATCCATGTGACCACTTAGATAAACCTTGAAAACATTAATGCTGAGTGAAATAAATCAGTCACAAAAGCACAAATACTGTATGATACCATTTATAGGAAATAAGCAAATGTATAGAGACTAAACAGGCAGGGATGGCTGGGAAGCAGCTGAAGCCAGCTTTTGGAGGGCCGGAACAGGTAGGGCAGGCCAGGAAGTAGGAGTAAAGCAGTTTGGAACACCTAAGGGAGATGAACTTGTCTGTCAGTCTGTCATTCTGTGGTGGCTTGTGTGTTGCTTTGAGGCTGGAGTCTATGCCACCGGTGCTTCAGATGCCAACAGGGTTATCCATGGTGGACAGGTTTCAGCAGAGCTTCCAGACTAAGATAGACTCAGAAGAAGGAAGAGGCCATCCACTTCGCAAAGAATTGGCCAGTGAAAACTTACGAAAAGCAGTGAAACCCTATCTGACATATTACTGAAAAACTTTATGAATAGCCCTGAAATATAATCTGATATAGTGCCAGATAATGAGCCCCTCAGGTCAGAAGGCACTCAAAATATGACTAGGAAAGAGGTGCCTCCTCAGAAGAGAGCCTTAAGGATATGGATAGAGTAAAGCTTTTGGGATCTCTGTTTGCTGATGTGGCACAACTCAAAATGAGAAGAAACAGCTACAAACATCTATTAATAATTGGAACATACAATGTACGAAGTATGAATCTAGGAAAACTAGAAGTTGTCAAAAATGAAATGGAACTCATAAAAATTGATATCCTAGGCATTAGCGAGCTGAAATGTACTGGTTTGGGCCATTTTGAATCAGACAACCATATGATCTAGTACACCAGGAATGACAAATTGAAGAGGAATGGCATGGCATTCAACATCACAAAGAACGTTTCAAGATCTATCCTGAAGTGCAATGCTGTCAGTGATAGGATAATAAC